GAAGTCGGACGCTTAACCGACCAAGCCACCCAGGCGCCCCGCGAATATCTACATTTTTAAAGACACCAGTCAAATAACCAGGTACAGGCAATAATAAACTTATGAATTAAAACACATAAATCACCACACCCTTTTACTACCACAATGCTGAAAAGGCTATATATTTTAAATGAATCTCCTTTAATAATTACTCTTAAAAATGGAAGTTAATGACCGCTTTCATGCTTTTTAAAGGAGAAATCTGTACCAATTTGGCCCCCATATACGCACTCTGTATACCAAACAGTAGTGTACAAATCTTAAAGTACCAAAATGATGCAAAGGCTCGAGGCATTTAATAAAAGTGAATTCTTCAGTTAGTACGCTTAGTAAATAATTAACGAACCTTATCAGTGTATGGAGAGACTCTTGCTACATAGAGGCCACAGCTTTCAAAACAGGACACAGGCAATTATTTTTCTCTTAAATGTTATTATTTCTTCTTCCCAGTCATTAAACATATATGGAGCTTTCAGCATTTATATGGTATACCTATCCTTTCTCAAGACTGTGCTGCGTTTGAGCATCCCAGAAAGATGTCTGGCTTTTCTAACCTCTGTGATGGTAAAGGCTGCCTGCCGTCCCTCACAGAGGAGGGCGCCCTCTCAAAGATGGCGCCCAGGAGGAGGAGAGGGGCCCTGGTGGAAGCTGTAAAGGAGGTGAAAGGCCTCCTTTACACTACTTAATGCCTCTGGGGAGAGAGGGCATCTATCTTAGGTTCTCGCCCTGAAGAGCAAAATTTAAAGTTCAAGTAATCCCTGTTCATTCAAGAAAAAGTAGAAAATTTGGAAAAGCTGAAAGAAAAATTACTACCACCCATAATCAGTTCCTCCACATCAAAACAGAGATGGGCTTTCCACTGAATTCGGAGATGGCGGTCATTTGCTCCCTGCTGAGGTTTGAAGGGACGGACTCACTTGATCCCACTATCTCCAACCTCTCAGGACTTCATTCTGCCCATCACTTATCTCTCAGTCATTTTCAAGTCCCAACTGCCCTCTACTCAGACTCCAAAGAAACATTCTCTGATCTTGCTCGCACTTAAAAACACAAACGCCCCAAACTTGCCATGATCTTGTTAAGTAACAAACCGCCTACTTTGCCCACCACTTCTGGATGGTCATTTTTGCAAAGTACATTCAGTCTGGCTGTCTCTGTTTTCCACCTGCCCACGTCTCTTTTGGCCCTGTGCCACCTGGCTTTCGTCCTGAGCATTCTACTGAAGCTTCATGCCTAGAAGTCACCACTGAGGACCTACCTTCTACGTAGGATGGTTGCTTCTCATCCTCGGCCTCCGTGACCTTTTTGTAGTATTTTGTACTGCTGACCGAGCCTCCCTCTTAAATATCTCTACCCTGGGTTTCCACGTGAATGAGTGAATGGCCCATCCCTGGGTCTGTTACTTGTCCTAAGTATCTCCTGTACCTGTATACTTTTTCTTGGTATATCTATTTCCACTGCTTTAAAAATCACCTCTAAATAAGGGAAGTTTAAAAGCTCTATTTTGATACTGAACTCATTCCATATTCACAGGTGTGTGCAATGCACAGCCTACCAGGACCACAGACAGGTCCCAAACAGAATGCATACTATTCAGACCTGTTTCTTACTTTGGCTCAGCCTACCCACTGGGCCCAGGTGACTAGACTCAATACCTATTTCCTGTCTCTCGTCCTTCTCCAGTGCCACGGATATCCACCTACAGCCTCCTGCTCCGTCCCCACTTTTTCGTCCTTATCTTCGTTATCGGGATGCCTACGTGGCCTCTTTGCGTTTAGTTCCTCCTCGCTTTGGGCAAGGACTTCAGTGTTATCAACGAATGACTCTAGTCACTCTGAAAACCAGTTCATAAACCTTCAGAGGTGTCCCACTGCCTAATCAGGAAAAAACTCCTCAGTCTGAAATTAAGGGCGTCACGACACGATCCTAGCCTTATTTTCTACCACTGCCCTACCCGAATGTTCACTACATCCTCTAAACACAGTCTTCCATTTCCCTCTTTGCTACTAGTTCAGTGTTCTGTGCGCTTGCCAATATAGCTCATTCTTCAAAACATCTCATTATTAACATAATCTTCTGTGATTTTCCTCCCCTTCCTTTGGAACCCAACAACAGGCTTTCAAAGTTTCTTAACGGCGCAGAAGTTCTGATCTGTAACGTGATGAACTGTGCACTTCTGTTCTTTCCCCCTCAGGAAGAGAAATACGGGCCCAGAGATCTTACCATTTACTATTTCCCGTCTCCAACCGGCAGTGGCTGGAGAGGTACTCGCTAAGCCCTCCCGCGCTTAAATTCATCATTTTAGGACTTGGCTGGTTAAGGCTTACGCGGGAAGGGAGTAGAGAGGAGGAAAAGCAGATGATTTTATCGGGCACCTCCCGCGTGCTCTACACTCGGTTAGGGACTTGACAAATAGAGTCAAGTATTTACCAGCGTTAGTGTGCCTGGCAGAGCGGGGAAGGTGGGGGAGAAACAGCCTAGTTGTCTATCATTTCTCTTGGTTCCTGATGCAGCTGCCTGGAACCCCGAATGCAGAGCGTGTTTCCAGACCCATGCTCAGTCAGGCTCTCTTGATCATACCCACAGGACACCATGACCTGCAAAGATTTTTCATATCTCTTCTCTCTCCTCCAAGAAAAAACTCACACAAATAATGTCACACTCTCACATGGGGACGGCTGACCCTGCTAGGCTACAAAATATTTACTTACAAATGTGAGACATTCCATTATTCACAAAAGAAGAACATAACCACTGCGGTTAACATTGATTGAGAGAATTAGGAAATTCCCTACAAAAGAAGAATTCACTGTAGAGAGTCTCCTGCTGGGTCTACGGGAATCTTCTCTGCATGGGGTACAGTAACACAGAGAGGTTAAGAGCCCTGGCTAAGTCGAATCCGATCCACCTGGGGTCAGAGGTGATGTCTTTCACTTAGTAGCTTAACCACTCCTGAGCATCTGTTTTTTCATCTGAAAATGTGAGAAACCTTATCGCTCTGAGATATGGCGCTGGTTACAGACTCCCCACGTATGAGTAGTATGGAAAAACATGGACCCAATCTCTACTTCCATCATTGCTTCTGCTTCTTGTCGAAGGAGAAACTCCCAAGGAGTGAAGGGGGGGGGGCGGGAAACACAATGCCAGGAAAACCGCACGGAAGATCCCACAAAAACATAACTTTATAGTTATAGTGAGAAAGTCTAAGATAGGGACGGTAGGTTGAAAAATACAGTCTATTTAATTAAATTTATTTAATTTTTTTCATTAAAAAACATTTAAAGTAATCTCTATACCCAACGTGGGGCTTGAATTCATGACCCCGAGATCAAGAGTCACATGCTCCACCAAAGGAGACGGCCAGGTGCCCCGGAGAAATGTAGCTTAAATCATGGCTCTTCCTCCCCTCTGCTCTGCCCTCCTCCACTCCCCACCATGAATACTTTAAACCAAAACTTAGTTTCTGGATGGAATATGTATCGAATTGTATAAATTAAGGCTTTACAAGCCTTAGCAGTGTGTATACATACAGCATAATGTATTTTATTTGAAGGAGATAAAGAAAACCAAATGGCAAAATCTTAATGGAACTCTTAAGCTATTGATTCTCAGCCTGGATGAACTTCAACGGATTTTCCTCAAAGCACCAAAGGGAGAAACAAACAAACAAAACACCATTGGTTTTTTAATTTATTTCTTAAACTCACGTATTTTTGGCTTGTCCATCCTGGAAGCACATTTGTCCCACCAATGCAGCAGACTGGTCCCCCAAACACTGAAAGTATAAATGACAATAAAGAACACTAAGACAATATTATTAATTTTCCTTTTAGAACAACCATAGGATTTATTTTTCCTTTTTTTATTTATCAAGGAATTAATTGTCTTCATTTTTACATTGCTTCTCTTTGGTCTTTTTTCCATTTCTTTTTTTTTTTAATTTTTTTAAATGTTTATTTATTTTTTTGAGATAGAGGGAGAGCGGGGGAGGGGCAGAAAGAGAGGGAGACACAGAATTTAAAGCAGGCTCCAGGCTCCACGTTGTCAGCACAGAGCCCCACGCGGGGCTCAAACCCACAAACTGCGAGATCACGACGTGAGCCGAAGTCGGACGCTTAGCCGACTGAGCCACCCAGGAGCCCCCATTTTCCCATTTCTTAAAGCCCCTATAAGATAGTAGGTATGGGAAGGAAGAGCTAGAATTTAATCAAAAGATTCTCAGTGGCCCATACTGTGCCACATAAGAACAAGAATCAGCCAATTGTGCGGCTTTTATTTGTTTTCCATAGTTTAGGATGGGGGAGACTGATTCAGATATAGGAAGAAACCCATGACATGGAAGGGGACTAAGGTTGGGGAGGTAGCAGGAAGATGAAACTTACCCCCGATATTGGCACACCTTCCAAGGCCCCAGCTTTCTAATAAAATTTGGGAAAAAAGGATTATGAATAATCACAAACTACTGTCTCTAACAAAACTGCAACAGGGATGAACACGAATAGCAACATGCCAGAGCATGTGGGCAGACAAGACAAAGCAAGTGAGTCAACTACATATGTGGTTCAGAGACAGACACTAGACATTTCTAGAATGACAAGAAGAGACACGGCATTGGAGAATGGACGTCAAACACTGGACTCGGACTCAGGAGACGTGGGGTCTACTCTTGGTTAGTCAGCGTTAAGCCACTGAGCAGGCCGCTGAAACTTCTCTTTGCCTCAATTTCTTGATCTACAAAATGGAATCTAGGTAACAAGAAAGCCTGGGTTCGATAGTTCTTTCTATTATTGCCATTAATAAGGAAAATGAATGCATCCTTTAAGATGAACATACACATAGCTATCAAACCAGCACGGAACATTCTCGTTTTGGAAGGCTGGATTTTACCGACTATACTTCCTACCCAAACTACTCGAGAGAAGAAACACAAGCGCGTCTGGGTATTGGGTATTATTTGTTTATAGAGCCAACATCATTCTTCAAGTTTAGCTAAGCAAGAGTTCAATTTAGGTCACGAAGAGCGGTTTTTATTTTGATCAAATATGGCCAGCATTCTAGAACAAAAATGAGACATAAGTGGCTGTGTATGTTACAGAACTTATTTAAAAAAAAAAAAAACATATTCAACTAGGAAGAGCGCTAAACAAAAGCTTTGGACTGACTGACCCCTTAGTCTGCCCTTTGGGAGCCAGTCCCCCAGCCTCCGGGAGCGTAAGGTTCCCTATCTGCTCGAATGAGGGTAAGAACGGAAGCCACCTCACAGGGCTACAGTGATAAGGAAACAACAGCGTATATTTTTATGCTTCACAAAATAGAAAACATCTTCTAGATGGTGGATATTATTTTATTTCTTTCATGCTTTCTGCTTAATTCAAGACCTGCCATTTTTATGTGCTGTATACATTCTTAGAAAACCTGGACCTGGATAGTAAGTGAAGGCTAAATTTCGCGAAGAACACAAAGTGAATCTGTAGGAAACCTAGAGGCTATATATATATCTTAATATACTAAGAAACTAAAAGAAGCCATTGCTTATACTATTGGAAGTTATTATCAGACTACCAGCAGGATCTGCTAATGTGCATTCAGGCACATAAAGCGCTCTTTTTTTCTTCTTAGGGAGGGATCTCCGGAGGATTCCTGGGAATGTCCTCTGGTGAAGCATGCAGAAAAAGGGACAGTGCATTTCCAACTAACTAGTCTGAAAGGCTGGTCAAGTTGCCTTTAAGACAGGCATTTAGGACATTTAAAAACTACATCTCATTTCCCTGTTCTGCTAAAGTCCAAAGCACATCACAACTGTACTTTGTCACGGGGAACATCAGAATTTCTCACTCTGGAAAATTACCTTAGTCTTCTATTTTCAAACACCGCTTTCAGTCTTAGGGCAAACTTAAAAACAAACAGATACGAATGACTTTAAAGAAAACCTAAAGCTTGCCTAGAGCTTACAGTAATTTGGAAGGTCACGAGATTCTAGAAGAATCTGTTTAGTAAATGGACTTCTGTTTGTCTAAAACTAAATGGAAATGCACTGTATCTTTTCCAAATGAATGGGTAGCATAATTGGTGGGCAACCTACTCACCAGACTATGAGAGATTTTCTATAGTCAGCAAGGGGGAAAAAGGGGGACAGAAGCATAATATTTTAAATGCAAGAGAAAAAACTAGGCCAGTAAATGCTTTTCAACCGTTCTCTAAAACTGTTTCTCAAGAATAAGTTCTTTTTTCTGACCCAAGTCAGTGTAGAGGCAGCTATGAAGTCATTGAAGCACTTTTAGTATAGATGAGCAGTGCTTCCCCTTAAAAAAAATTCACGGTACCTGAGAAAGCTTTATTATAAGTGAAATATTTAAGAAGCCTGCTCAAGCTTTAGCCAGAGCACTCAGTATTTAACTACATTTTTATTAACTCTGTAAGGAGAGTTTCTAATATTTGTCATGAAATGTCTAAACAATATTTTTTTTTTTACAATTTATCTTAGACATATTTTTAACTTTCATCGTAAATTCTAGATTTTTGTGTTCAAATACCAGTTCAAATCCTCCTGGAGGTTTTTCATCCCTGATGCGTACTCAGAGATACTCAGTGATAATAAGCACGCTTTTTGCTAAAATGACTTTTTCTCTCGGTTTCAGTGAAATCACAGATCAGAAAGAGACTGTTTGCTTTCAGTTTCTTTGCTAAAGTTTTTTTTGGGGCTGACAAAGAATCTAATATAAAAAACATGCTTTGGCTATTCAAAGAAATTCAACAGGAAAAAGAACACTAAAATGTGAAGACACCCTCCCATAAAATAGAAGCCGACACCACAACTACTAAAGTTTTTTCAATTAAAATAATAAACCAGCTCAAACATTCGCAGGCCACCCTGTGTAGTTAGACTATTGCAGTAATACTTTAAAAGCAGAATATTCAAAGAAAAGCCAATTAAAGTTTATAAAATGCAAAATCAACTGGTAAGGAGGATTCTAAAATTTTTTACGTTATTAAACTATACAAACAGCACTAAATTCTCGTCTTACATACTACCAACACTTACAGAAAAGTCACAACTATCAAACTAGGAAAGCTAACACAACTGCCTTTGGAATTTTGAATAGTAAAGCTTTTTTAAAAATGAAATTTAAAACACTTTTTTTTTTTTTTTTTTTTTTTTACCATTAAGCCATAGATCTCAGAAGAACTCCGAACATTTGGCAGAACTTTCATTGGAATTTCAAAAAATCTGAAAAACAATTAAAAACTGCGTATTTAACACTATTTTAAATAAATATTTGGACGCATTTATATGTATTTAGAAGCGAAAATGTAAATAACTATTAGAAAATGAATGTATTGGAGTGCAGAGTTAAATAATAAGCCAGCAGACCATGGTTGTGGGTATGGATACTTAACATTCTAATTTGACACAAATCGATAAAAAACAAAAAGCACACAACACACAAAGTACTTTTCTAAATAAACCTAACCTTCCTAATCAAGACACTTAATTTGGCCTGTCTGTTATATACGCAACAATAGTCTCTTGTTTGAATACACAGTATATACACTGTAGTTAAAATACCAACAATTAAAGTTTGGTGCTCTGCCGACATCGGAGAAGAGTAAGATTTAGGTTATAAACAGGTAACGTATCTGGCAATCGCTTTTTAGGGCAAAACCCAACTCACTCGCAGAGCTCTTTATCCCACTCCAGAGAATGAATGTTGAAAAGCATCGTCCTACTTGCATTGGTGACATCCGTGCAATGGACACCTCCGTTGGCCCCTCCCGTCAAACTCTAGACAGAATAAACAGGACAGGACATGTTAAATTTGCACTAATTTGCAACTTAAATTACATGTCGTCAAGGGCTGTAATCAGGAGCAGAGTGCAGAAAGCAGGAGAATGGAACGTGCCAATTGTTGAATGTTCAGGTTTCTGGCAGTGTCTCACAGAAATATAATGCGAGCTACATACGTAATTTTACGTTGTCTACTAGCTACATTTAAAAAGTAGAGCGAAGTAACGAGCACTGGGTGCTGTACGGAAGCCAATTTGACAATAAATTATATTTAAAAAAATTTTTTAAAAAGTATAGAGAAGCAAGTGAAATTAATTTTAATGATAGCATATCTTTTATTGAACCCAATATCTCCAAAATATCCTTTTAATATAAAAAATTCTTTCGGAGACATTTGACCTATTGATTAATAAATTCTTTTATTTTTAAGTAGTCTCTATGCCCAATGTGGGGCTTACAGTTGCAAGCCCCAGATCAAGAGTCACACACTCTAGTGACTGAGCCAGCCAGGTGCCCCAACATTTTACCTACTTAAATACAGTATATATGTTACAGTCACAGCACATGTTGATTCAGACCTGCCACATCTGAAGTTGTCAGTGGCCACACATGGCTAAGTGGCCACCATGTTAGTACAGCTTCTAGTCCATTGGTGGTTACACAGAAAAATCAGTTTCGTTTTCATGTTATCTTTGCAAAATGCAGTCTTCTCAGATTTGGCAAAGTGAACTATATGGACACGTCTGCCTCTTCAGGATCTTCCAGAACTCTGTGTTGCTCTTTCTTTGTTTTTGTTTTTTGAGAATAACAATTCTCATTGGGCTGCGCCGACCCAAGCATATATCCCAAAAGCAGAGGTTTAAATTCTCTAGTGTTGATATCCTCAGAGCGGAGCTGAAAGGATTGCCGCTTTCTTTCGTGTGCGAGCGGTTAAGAGGGGAGGCGGGAACTGAAGCAGAGAAAAGGCATCTCGGCATCCCGTGAGCAGGTCCCCCTCGACCCGCAGCAAGACGCGCTCCCTTGTCTCCTGCAGCTCACAGTTGCCACAGCCTGCCTCACTCTGGTTCCAGGCAACTGATCGTCAGAACTATGTCAACTGTGACAGGCGTGAAAATGGTGGGCCATGAGAGCGCCACCCACGGCCGGCCGTGGCCAAGCAGAGAAGGCGCTGCTTCCTGGTACTGGTTCTGGAACATCTGCTCAGTGGGTGCGGTAAATGAGAACAGGGACAATATTCTCGCGACGCTCTCTTGAACGTTGAAAAAGATAACCATACACTTACTGAAGTAATTACAGATGAAAGTGTGTGGGGGGGATTTGCTTTAAAATGATCCGTGGGGCTGGGGCGCCTGGGTGGCGCAGTCGGTTAAGCGTCCGACTTCAGCTCAGGTCACGATCTCGCGATCCATGAGTTCGAGCCCCGCGTGGGGCTCTGGGCTGACGGCTCAGAGCCTGGAGCCTGCTTCCGATTCTGTGTCTCCCTCTCTCTGCCCCTCCCCCGTTCATGCTCTGTCTCTCTCTGTCTCAAAAATAAATAAACGTTAAAAAAAAATTAAAAAAAAAAAATAAAATGATCCGTGGGGAGCTAGAGTATGTGAGTATAGTTGAAACAAGATTGGCCAGAGTTGACTGCTGTAGCTGGCCCACTGATGTAGAGGTTCATCACGCTATTTCCCTCAACCTTGGGGTATATTTGAAAACGCCCACGATAAAAATGACAGAGAACGAAAGAGAGAAAGGGAGAGAGAACATGTACTTTTAAGATAAATCTGGGAAATGTCTAAAATGTTAGTTTCTACTCATCCGTGTTCGGCTTAGGCCAAAAGATTAGACAGTGAAATTTCCACCATGATTTTTTATATTCTGGCTTAAATAAGAGACAGCTGTGTAATACTGAAAGCAAATGATAAAAGTCACATAGATGTTTATCATGTGAAATAGTTGTTGCATTTAAGAATGACCGGTGGAGGGGCACCTGGGTGGCTCAGCGGGTTGAGTATCTGACTCTCGATACTCTGCTCAGATCGTGATCTCACGGTTGGGGCATCGAGCCCTGTGTCGGGCTCCATGCCGAGCATGAGGCCTGCTTGAGATTCTCCCTCTCTCTCCCTCTGTCCCTCCCTCACTCATGTGAGTGCAAACATGTACACCCTCTCTCTCTCTCTAAAATAAAAAAAAGAAATGACCAGTGGAAAAGAATATATGATAGGCAAGAGAAAAAGACTACCTTAATTACTAATTACTAATTACCTAAATTACTTATTCATAAGAGAATAGACATGACACATGGTTTTGGTGATCATCCTCCATTTTTACGGAAATAAAGCAAGAAAAACTAAGGAGGAAGTAAGGAAAAATGCCTCTTAAATGGAGGCTGAAATGTTAATTTTGCCAACTAAAATGTTTGAACTCTTAATAGAAAACAGGTGGTCTAAAAAATTTCTGAAAAGCTTTCTCCATGCATACGTTATATTTAAACATACCCAAATAAGCCATGAATCAATGGTCCCAAAAAGAGCTCTATCCTCTTCAACAGCCTTTTGAACTTTTCTCACATTGTCAAGGAGCCAACGAAGTTTCACGGCACTGAAGTAAGTGCTAAGTGGAAGGCCTGTCTTGGACTAAAAACAGTTATGAAGTTCAGCCAGCAAAGTGAATTCCTAACAGTTTAAAATAAAGCACCAACCCCCCCAAACGCAACAAATCCCAAAACATTCAATGGCGCTAAAGCCAAGCCCCCTGGTATTGTGGATAAAAATACTTTTCCTATCTTGTGGCACAGGAAGGCGTGTTCACGAACAAAGACCAGTGTGATGTGTTTGCAGTTCAAAGAGCATCCACGTTGCAAGGTAAAGAGAAAATTAAATGACACAGTACCCTGGGATCTAGAGCGTGAACACGTAGATGTTAGCTTTTGTGATGACTAGTACATGCAGAACCTAGTCCAAAACTCTGCTTTTCATTTTGTATTTCCTAAAAGTGATAGTTTAAACTATTAAAAATCAGGGAGTACATCAAATCATAGACTAACAACCACACCAGAGAATTTTGTTTCAAAACGTGGACGACTTAACAGCAATAGACTTATGTGTGTAAAAACTATGTCATAAACAAGTATATATATTTACACACATACATATTCAAATACCATAACATAAAGTAAGTGGAGAATAAAGTCGAGCTCAAGGACATGCCAGAGGAAAGCAACATTGAGTTGTTCTATAGAAGAAAAGAGTTGCCTCAACTCAGCAAGGACATGGAGCAAAGAGACGGTGGACCGACTAAAGGGTAAAGGGTCAGTATTCCTTTAGAATGGATCAGTCCAACTCCTACTTTTGTTAGTATATTAAATACTAGATTTATTTATAAAGGCTAAATGAAAGTGGTAAAGAAGATACATACATCAAAATAATGCAACTATCTTTCCCCTCCCCTAATCTTTGGTCTCCTCATTGATCACCTAACTACAGAAAATTCAAACCAAACCATTTAATACTTTAATGCACCCTGTAAGTTAAGACTGTCAACTCATGGTTTTCTAGCTTTCCTAGAAAAAATAAATCAATGCTCAAAAATAATGAAAGGAAATAATTTATGGGATCATTTCTCTTTGAAGGACCAAGGATCATCCCACAGAGCCAACAGTGAGGTAGTCCGTAATATTTCATTGTTATGACTTGGGTAGAGAGTGTAAAAGCGGCCTACAATGGCACCGAAGAGAAAAACATGCATCCCTTGAAGCAAAGTAACTGGAGGTGGGGATGAGGGTTGGGCAGGGTGACAAAGAGGAACAGAATAGGAAGTGGGTGAGGGTATATTCAGGACTAGCCTGAAGTTATTCGGGCGGGTGAGGGTAGGGAATGGTCTGTTCAATTGCTACAGTTAATGGGATCTGAACGCTAGTTTCAGAACCAAGAACCACTGCCCTAAGGGTCCTGCTGACAAATAAATATCAAGGGGATAAACAAACACCCCAGAACTTCCTTTGGATGCTAGGAGAAGTTGGCCTTGACCTTGCTAAGAAAAATACCTTGCCAGTTTCAAAAAAATTCTCTCTCCCTTCATTTATCTGAAGAGAGCTCTACACATGGACTGAAATATAGGCAATTTTTATAAGCTTCCTTCATATGAATAAAGTGGAAGAGGAGTTCGGGAGGAGTTGGAGTGACTTTTACTTTGTCCCTCTGAATCCAGATGCCTAAAAACTCCAAAGCATCCGGAACTTTCTTTGACAGATAGTAGAAACCAAGAAGGACAGATTTTGAAAGCATGGTTGAATTATAGGAAGCACGCCCTGGGAAGCATGGCTTAAGCCACTGGGACACTTTATAATCCCCTTCAGCCTATCGACCTTGGAATATGAATCCTCAAATCCACCACAGGGCAAGAAGACAGAAAGGTAAATACTTGAGTTACCCTCAATTATCTGCGGATAGCCTATAAAATGTATCCAATAATTACTGTGCGATAGGATATAGGGCCCGAATAGTCTTTCAGGTGAAATCTCTAAACCCTTTTTTTAAACAAGCATTCTTATAGTATACTTTTGAAGACATCTCTTACCTTGACAAAGTTATTATTTCCTGGAATTCTTTTACTAAGATTCTCAACGGTAGACTGGGTTCTTAGATCAAGCCACACTATAGACCAAAATATAATAATATATATGAAAAACTTCATTTAAAAAATCAGATCTTAATGAAATCACTGTCAAGGATAGGAGATCGATTAGTTTCCATAAGCAATTAAAATGCTAGAGCTTTCAAAAGAAATTAGAAAATTAGAAGTGAATGGGCATATTGTTAGAAAAAAGAATAAATTTATGAGGAAGAACTGAAAGGTTTTATGCAAAATTACAGACCAAGTTAGAAAAATACAAACCTTAGGGCCCTTATTTTGTATCCTTTTTATAGGAAAAAAAAAAAAAAAAACCACAAGGAAAAAATGTCTTGGATAGGCATTTTCTAAGAATGCAGGAGTACGGAGAAAATCTAAATGCTCGTCAGGCTAGTTGCCAGGGCAGAATTCACAGCTCAGGATCACCGTGCTGTGTACAAAACGAGTATCTTAGAAAACCTGGGAGCGATCTGTGACAGAGCAGAGCACCCGGTACCACTTACTGGAGGAAGAAGTAAGATTCAGTCTCTCACGTATGAATTGCTTATTTACATCAAACTCTTCCGTTTCAAAAGTAGGCTACAGGCCAGAATCATTACAAGAACCGTTTAAAGGTCACCATTCTTGCTCCGTGCTAGACTGTAAAAAAATCTATTTTAAGAGCGCAACATCATTTATAGTAAGCAACTATCATCCCCTTTCTGACCGTCTAGGAGAAGACATTTCTGTTCTGCTTCACGACAGAAGGCCTGAGAAAGAGAAGGTATCGGGTAGTGCATAAAGCCACGATGAAGGGGAACCAACAGGACCGCAGAGTTTTGTTTGTCAGATTTAAGTTTTGTACTTAAACTTCTCGCACTTTTAATCTGTTAGTGGTCACGTGGTATTTTTAGGCACCGACTATGCTCAGGTGCCTCCTGAAAAGACTCAGGCCTGTGGTTTATTTAAAGGGCACACAGGCTTGCCCACCACGCACGTGGATGTTGGCCACTCAACGCACAGTCTGGTGCACCCTGAACTAGCCGATTCCTCTCTCTCTGTTTAAAAACCAGCTGTTGTTTTGTTTTTTCATAAAAAATAAAACTAAAAAAAATAAAAAAACCCGTTCTTTTCTGTAGTGAATTTTAATCCGTTCTTTCTGATCCCTTAAATTGTCACTTCCCTCATGGAGGGCCATCTGCGCTTGATTTTGACCGGTGGCTACCTCGGGACAGCAGACTGGTCTCTACGGGTGTGAAAAGCAGCAAGCACAGGCTGGTCACCACCGAGGAAACAGGAGGCAGAGAGGAAGACCGGGGGTTCCGAGGCCTAGAGGGCACGTGTTGCACCTCTGCCCACCACGCATCCCTCTCGCTCCCGAGCGCAGGATCTCAAACTCTGTGAAGCAACTTGTCCCTCCCTCATCCTGAGCCGAGCGGTCGGCCTGCGATGCGACCCTCCTCCCAGCTCCAGCATCGCGTCCGCATCCCAGGGACTGGCTCAGCGGAGCGCGTGTGGTCTCATCAGCCCAACGGACATCCGTGCTCAGTCTGCCGGACTCGCTCCTCCGCAGCTCTCCTCGGCAGTGTGGCCGGGCCTTCTTGGCCCGGCCCCAAGAAGAGAGAGCCGCATCGGCCGCATCTGGAGCCATCCCAAGAAAAGACAGACTCGTGGGGCATCCAGGTCATAATGTCCGAGTCTAGAATCAAACAGCACCTGAACTAAGCGACTCTTGCGCTGCTGGTTCCATGAACAAAAACATTCTTGGTTGTTGTTTTTTTTTAAACTTGATTTAGTTCAGGTAGAGTCTTCCGTTACTTGCACTGTGATTGATGTAAGCCATTAGCAGCAGCCGCGTGGACTTGGCGAGAACTGCCATGCCCAGGGAACCGAGGCAGTCCACTTTTCAGAGGGGCAGTGTTGCAGGGCTCTGACAAAAGCGGACCTTCCTCATAGGCAAGCAACCCCAGGAGGTATTAACAGGAGTATCGGGGAAAAGGAGAGGAATGCAAGAGAGGGGTTTTGAGTCTGTGAATTAACAAACACATCTCAATTTTCAGTGTTTCAAGCTCCAGTGGGCCGGGGGTTTTCAATCACTTGAGTGTGTTTCAACTACCTACTTTTAAAAAATGAAACAGGGTGGATTAGAATGGAAACTAACAGAGTTCACGGAACTCAGTAAGGTAAGTATTGTGAAACTTCTGTTTTAGTTATGGGAGTTTGATGAGTCACGGTGTAAAATGTATTTCTTATCAAGGGACATGAACAAAGGACATGAAAGTCATTGTTCTAGGCTGTTGTTGAATGACTCAGAGCCTCCTAGATGAGTGCTTTTCTGTGTTTTAATGCAAATAATCATTAGGGAAGTTAAAGATGGACCCCATTCCCAGAAATTCTAGGATAGTAGATCCAGGGAGGGATCCCAGAAATGTGCCTTTTACATAGGTGCCCCCTTCCAACCCCCGCTCCTTTAAGAAACACTGCTAGACTCCACAGCAGTGGTTCTTACCCAGAAAGCACATGAGAACCACCTGGAAAAATCTGAAATTACACATTCCAAGCCCTACCTTGCAGGATTCTGGTTCCAGGTGTACGCAAGGAAGGCCTGACTCTTTGTACTTTTGTTATAAACATCCCAAGTTATTCAGTATTATACTAGAACTTGAGAGCCTCTTTTTTAGGGCCTGGTCTTTAGGATATGGAACTTGTCCCAATTATTTCTTTAAAAACAAAACGACAGAGGGGCTCCTGGGTGGCTCAGTCGGTTAAGCGTCCGACTTCGGCTCAGGTCATGGTTTCGTGGTTTGTGAGTTCGAGCCCCGCATTGGGCTCTGTGCTGACAGCTCAGAGCCTGGATCCTGCTTCAGATTCTGTGTCTCATTCTCTCTCTGCTCCTCCCCCACTTGTGCTGTCTCTGTCTCTTAAAAAATAAATGTAAAAAAAAAATTAAAGAAACAAAAACAAAAACACAACGACAGGTAAACTCATGCCCAGGTGTCTTCTCTGAGTCCCAGTGGCTCTGTGACTCTATTGCTCCTTGACAACGACCACTTAAGTAACTGGGGCACTTTACTCCTCACTTGAGACCTTGCGAGTATCCAGAATGGAATGCACAAAATCAAACTCTCACCAAAAAGAGTCAAAACACTGGATGTCAAATCAGGAGATCAAAGTTGTTTGTCTTCTGACTTTGCCACCAATAAGCTACGTGACTCAAGCAAGTCATTTTACCCTTTGTGGCCTTGATTTCCTGAGTATAAAACGAGGCAGTCAGACTAGATGGTCTCTGCAGTCTCTCTGCTGCCATTATTCCATGATCACAGAAGGCTGGCAGGTTCACTTTGTTTTCATAGCCCAAGAGTTTAAGGTAATTAGAATACATGGAATGAATTAGTACAACTGCCAAAGAGAAAAATGTCAGTGGTTGATACACTACCAAACAATTCACAAATGCTGAAAATTAATTGAATTAAGAACAAAAAAAAAATTAGAAAACTCATTAAAGAAGCTAAGATGGCAGAATTAGATTGGCAGAATAAGAGACCAAAAGCCAAAGAGAAGGCCCCAAGCTGGAGGACTAAGCCCCTTGTGGAGGTAATTTCTGAGAACAATCAAAGGTGCCAGATCCATATCCGGCAGCGGTGGTCAATTTCAGTGGTCAATTTCCCCCGTCACGTCTGAGTCGGAAGGCTGGGAAGGGAGCAGGAGCCAGAACAGCAATACCTGAGGAAGCGCCAGCAGCTGGAACTGAAGAGCCAGAGGGGACAACGGCAACTGGATCGGAAGGGCCAGGAGAAACTGGAGCGGCTGGAGCATTAGGAGAAATAATGGCAGTTCATGCTAGAGGTGGCCAGATTCAAGGTCTGTGTTCTCTTGCTGACTGCTTAGGAAACGGTAGATCACTTGGGCAAGTTCATCAGAACGAACACTTTCTACACATTTGAGCGTAGAAAAGGAAAAGGAAGAGACATGGAGTAGAAGAGAAACAAAGGCAGTCTGGTCAGCGTCTCTGGTTCGGTGGACCCCGTCCGTGTGGACAAAGACCAGGTAAACAGGTGCTTCTTGTTCAGGATGACTCTTCCCTACCTGGCCACCTATCTGTGTCCTAGTTAGAAAAGTGGCCCAGGCTGGTTACTGACTGTTCGCCCAACCAGTAAATTGAAAGGCTGTGCGATGTAGTGAGTGAGCATCCCTTACAAAGGAAGGCTAAGGAGTGAGCCACGGTCACTGTTGGGGCGATCCACGGGAAGACATGAAAAGGCTGCTTTGGGAAGTCATGGCCCCAAGAAAGCACTTCCCCGGGAGGCTGGCAGGAGGGGAAGCCCACCACCACAAACGGGAGAAGCGTGTCTGGAGGGCACAGGGAATGGCTAAGTTCCAAAGTGATTTGGAAAAAAATAAGAAGGAAAACAGACGCTCGGGAGTCCCAAACACTAGATAGCCTGCTTCTATAAGGTATGTCCCTTATTTAGACCAAGGAAATCTGATTCAGATGGTTCAAATCATCAAATAAACAAGTAAAAAAAATCCAGTTTGGATGACGTGATAATCTTTCATTTGTACTAAATAGAGTCGCATCCACTAGCTGTCTGTTAGACTTAGGTCTGAACAACATAGTTCGCACAGTGAAGAGAGATGCGGTTGCCTCACTGCCCACGGACCGGGGTTAGTTAGGCGACGCAGTAACAGTCCAGAGGAAGAGACGACATTTAGAATATTTAGAAAGGTGCATCAGTTTGGGTTTGTCATAATGATAGAAGGGAAAAGGACCTAAGAAAAAATTTCAAAATTAACTAGTAACAATCTTAATTATTTTCAGTTGACCAGAAGCCGAGGCACACAACACGTCTCTGAGCGGGTTTGCTACGAGCACGCGAGGAGCTGCAGGCGGGCCGAGGAGGAAGATGAAGGCGGGGCTCCGGGTTACGGAGCGCACCCCGAGCAAGGGCTTCTGGCAGTTCCGCAAAGTGTTCTGGGGCTGTCTCCCCAACAAGAAATATAATAACAGTAAACCAGATGGAACTGCTATGTGTTACCGCTGGCC